GGGTGTTTGCACGGGCTCGTTCGCGGCCATTTTGTGGGGATGTCTCAGGCGGTTTGCTTGTTTCTGGGCCCAACATCCTTCGCTTTCGGAGCAGATTTGGAGGATGTCTCGAGCGAGGCGCTCATTTCAGCACCCCTAAGGGGAGCCGCCAGGGGTGTTTGCACGGGCTCGTTCGCGGCCATTTTGTGGGGATGTCTCAGGCGGTTTGCTTGTTTCTGGGCCCAACATCCTTCGCTTTCGGAGCAGATTTGGAGGATGTCTCGAGCGAGGCGCTCATTTCAGCACCCCTAAGGGGAGCCGCCAGGGGTGGTTGCACGGGCTCGTTCGCGGCCATTTTGTGGGGATGTCTCAGGCGGTTTGCTTGTTTCTGGGCCCAACATCCTTCGCTTTCGGAGCAGATTTGGAGGATGTCTCGAGCGAGGCGCTCATTTCAGCACCCCTAAGGGGAGCCGCCAGGGGTGTTGCACGGGCTCGTTCGCGGCCATTTTGTGGGGATGTCTCAGGCGGTTTGCTTGTTTCTGGGCCCAACATCTTCGCTTTCGGAGCAGATTTGGAGGATGTCTCGAGCGGCGCTCATGTTCACCCCCCAGGTGGGCCAGATTTTGAGGATGTCTCGATCGGTTTGCTTGTTTTGGTGGCCAGGCTCGTGGGCGCAGATTCTTCTCAGGATGCCACAGGAGGCCCCAACAGGCTCCAGGAGGCCCCAGGAGACCACATGAGGTCCCAGGAGGCATCAGGAGGCCACAGAAAGACTCAAGAGGCCACAGGATGTCCCAAGAGGCTCCAGGAGGCCCCAGGAAGCTCCAGAAGGCCTCAGGAAACCACAGGAGGCCCCAGGAGGCAACAGGAAGCGCCAGGAGGCCTCGGAAGGCAACAGGAGGCCCCGAGAGGCCCCAGGAGCAGGAGGCCTCAGAAGGCAACAGGAGTGGCTCCAATCCCATGTGTTTACGTATGCTCCTATCGATTGGGCCTCACCTGGAGCACGATTCTTTGATGTTCTACGTATGTTTCTATAGATGGTCCTTCTCCTGTGTACACAATCCTAAATGTTTTACTCATGTTCCTATGTATTGGGCCTCTCCTGGGGCACGAGTCCTTGGTGTTTTACGCGTGTTCCTATAGATTGCCCTTCTCCTGTGGCTCTAATCCGCAATGTTTTATGTACGTCTGTTGCTATAGATTGCGCCTCTCCTGGGGCACGAAACCTTCCTAGGAGGTCCCAGGAGGTCCCAAGAGGCTCCTGGAGACCCCAGGAAGCCCCAGTAGGTTTCAGGAGGCCCCAGGAGGCCCCAGGCTCATGCACAGAGACGCGCTCGTACTACTGAGGCTCATTCACACTCCAATTCATTCGCAGTTAGATTGATGTCCAGACCGTCACAACTGAAGCCCGTTAATATTCGAAAGCTCTTGCGCCTAGACATTCACGGCGGACAGGTCCATGCGAGTAGATGCACATATGGGGAGCTCCACGCAGTGAATAATTGTTGTTGTTGTTGGTGGTGGTGTTGTTGTTGTTGTTGGTGGTGGTGGTGGTGGTGGTGTTGTGACTGGTGTTGTTGGTGTTGTTGTTGGTGGTGTTGTTGGTGGTGGTGTTGTTGGTGTTGTTGTTGTTGTTGTTGTTGTTGTTATTATTGTTGTTGTTGTGATTATCAGTGTTGTTGGTGTTGTTGTTGGTGTTGTTGGTGCTGTTGTTGGTGTTGTTGTTGGTGGTGGTGTTGGTGGTGTTGTTGTTGTTGGTGTTCTTGGTGTTGGTGTTGGTGTTGTTGCTGATGTTGCTGTTGTTGGTGGTGATGTTGTTGTTGGTGTTGTTGTTGGTGCTGTTGCTGGTGCTGCTGTTGTCGTTGTTGCTGTTGCAGTTGTTGCTGCAGTTGTTGCTGTTGTTGCTATATCTACAAAACAAAACAATACATACATGTACCTTAATGTTTATCGGCGTCTCCTGGGCCTTGTCTGGCCGCGCTGCCCCGTCCTGGCCCCTCGGCCACCGCAAGCTACCTCCTGGACGAGGGCGTCGAGCAGCGCCAGCTAACGGCGATATAGGAGACAAAAAACACTGCATCAACATAAACTCTTGGCGGTCCCAGCGGATTTCTTGGATCTGAGCTGGACCCCCCTCCCTGGCGCGCAGAGCGCGTCAGGGGCGGCGCCAGCAGCGCCGCCAGGGTTAGCTCGGGCACGTCTTTTGGGGAGAGAAAAAACAATGACAAAAAATGCCACCAAAAGGTCAAATACAGTGAAAGCATCGTCCCCATAATATCCTCCTGTGGAGGGACAGGCCCGACGTAACGCCAATGCGCTCCAGCGCAGATCCACAACAACCCGCTGTAACCGTGTTCCAACGCAGGCGAGCAGACGCCAACCGCGTACTTGTTGGCCTCTGAGAAGTGCCCCGCGCCGCAGCGGGGGGCTCTGCACCCCCGTGGCTCTGCGTGCCTCTCCTCCGACACCCGAGTGCAGCAGCAGCGGCGGGGCCCGGGAGGCCGCATACCTGCCCTGGGCCGCCACGCAGCCTTGCCGCTGAGCCAAGCCCTCCGTGGCAGCGGCAGGCACAAGTACGCTGTGGCCATTGGGGTTCCTTGCCAGAGGCGTGTGGGCGGGGAACAGGAAGGTACCGATATACCGCTAATCCCCGGACGGTTCCTGGAAACGTTCTGACCAGAACGTCGGGGCGATTCCTTGTGCGCCCGAGTTATATCCGGGATAGCTGCGGTCCGGGGTGACTCCAGTGTGGGCCCTCGATGCGCGAATCTGCACCTATCCCTGACTGCCCCGAGCCCTGATGATTCGGGAGGGCTGGGCGCCCGACTCCTCCGGGAAAACTGCGGTCCGGGGCAGAACTCCTGTGTGGGCCCTCGAGGCGCGGATCTGCACCTACCCCTGACCGCCCCCGGTCCTGATGATGATCCGGGGCTCTGCAACGCAGCGGTGGCGACGAGGAGTTCCCAAGAGGGCCACAAAGGCCCCCCCCCCTCACGGCAACCGGCGGACTCCAGGCCAGCTCTGCAGACGTGAGGCGGCGCTTCGCCGCGGCCTGCACCGCGGTGCAGGCCGCAAGGGCTTCGAGAAACTAGGCGCAGCGGCCGCGTACAGTTGGCACAGGCCACGCGCCGCCCTTCCCGTGCGCCCGCGGCCGCCCGCGCCGCCCAGGCCTTCCCCGTCGAGCAAGCGCCGGGGTCGCCGCCGACGGCCCCGCCGGAAGCACCCACGATATAGGTCACTGTCATATGTTTCTGGACACGGCCGCTATAGCCAGGGGAGGAGGAGGAGAAGGAGGAGGAGGACGAGAAGGAGGAAGAGGAGGAGGAGGAAGAGGGGGCGGCAGGGAGTTGGGGCCAGGGCAAAAGGGTAACGCGTGGGCGGGGTGGTGCACGTCGGGCCGGGGGCGCGCTGCGGCGGCCATAGGTGCAGGAGCGAGCACCCGCACGTGGGGAGGGTACAGGCCCCTGCCCCCGTACGGTCGTTACCGTTACTCGTGGGTGGAGGGGTTTGGCCCAGCTAGCGCCTTGTACGCGACAGAGGATGGAACAAAGTAAAAACCATAACAAAACGCACACAACAAAAAATCGACGGCACCGTCACCGAACGCGCCGCTGCCACTGCCAGCCTCCGTCTTTTTGCCAGACCCTCCCGTGGTGGTGCTGGGTCCTGGTTCTCTCTCCGCTGCGCTGCGCGCGCCTTCTGCTCCTCTCATCCTATCCCTCCCCTCCTCCTCCTCCTCCTCCTCCTCCTCCTCCTCCTCCTCCGCCTCCTCCTCCTCCTCCTCGTCCTCCTCCTCCTCCTCCTCGTCCGCCTCCCCCTCCTCCACCAAGTCGGCACACCCCTCGCACGGACGGCGCCAGCCCAACGCTATTGGGGACCAATCCTTACGCGGATCGTGCCCCCATGGAGAGCTCCAGCTACAGCTCCACAGCGAGGGTGATCCAAAGTTGGTTCCACGCCCAGTTCGGCACCCCCCGCACGAGGATCAAAATTCCGCAGGGTAGCTCCGGCTACGGCCCCAGCGGAGGTGCGCGTGTGCCGTCGAAGCCTCCCTGCGGCGCACCCCTCGCGAAGACCGCGGCCCGCGTGGAGCTCCGAGCACGGCCTCTGCCGGTGTGCGCGCATGCCGTCCCGGCCTCCCTGCGGCGACACCCCGCCCCAGGACCGCACTCCTCCAGGGGGCTCCGCCCGCGGCCCCAGTGCAACGCAGGGCCTCGCTTGCTGTTGGCACGCTCCGCTTGCGGCGCCGCACGCCCCTTGTCGACGTGCAACGCCACCGCCTCCTTCATGGCTCTCAAAGCCCTCTCCTGCTTTTGCTCCTCAGTCAGAGGGACGCCGTCGTTGTGTTCGTCGGCCTGCCTGCGCCGCCCCGGGGGACCGCCCCGCCTGCGGCGCCGGCGAGCGCGCCCCGATGCTCCCCCCCCGCCGGACCGCGCCGCGCAGGGCGCTCCAGCTGCGGCCCCAGCTCGAGCGCTCGCGGGGCGCCCCCGCGCACCTCGGCACCTGCCCACGCGAGCAGCGGGCGCGGGCACGCAGCGTGTGCGACAGGCGCCCCCGCCGCGTCAGACTCTGCGCGCCCCCCGCCCAGCCCCCGTGACGGGAGCTAGCTCATCCACTGCGCTGCGTGCCTGTGCGAAGGGTCGGGCCCCCCGCCCGGGGCACTCTCCGCGATGCCCTGCTCCTTTGCCCAATTCCCCCCTTCAACCCCCCTCCGTCCCCTTCTCCTTCCACCTCGCCCTCCCGCGCGCCACCGCTTGACTCCCTCTCTGGCGACCTCCCTCCTCCCCCAACTGCTTACATCCCCCCCCTCCCCCGTCCCGTTCTCCTCGTGCGCCTCATATATGCCGTTGGCTCCCCCATCCCTCCCTCGCTGCCTCCCTCTCTCCTTCTCGCTCTCTGCCTCTCTCGCTTCGCCCCTCCCTTCCCCCATCGCTCGTTGCTTCCCCCTCTCGCTCCCTCCCCCGGCACCTGCCCAGCACATTGCTCCTCCAATCCTGCGCCATCTCCCTTCCCCGTCCAGCGCTGATACGTGGTCTCGGCCGCGTGCGCCCCGAACGTGCCGCTGACGACCACCAGGATCAGCACCGAGACCGTTGCCCAGAAGGGCAGGTACCTGCCAGGCGGCCCCTTCACGGCTGCGGCCAGCGGCCAGGAACGTCTGGTCAGCGTGTCGCGGCGGTGGGCCCGGCGACATGCTATGTTCGGGTCGGGCGAAAGGGGGGGATAGCAAAGGGGGGGGTGATAATCAGCTCACGTAGCTGATTTTCCCGGCGCCTCCCGGCGCCGGAGGCGGATATGTATCGAGGAATGGGCCCCTCGGCGAGGCCGAAACCAGCTGCATGCAGCAAATGTCGATCCCCCCCTTTCCCAATCCCCCCGTTCGTCCGGCCCGATATGCGAGATGATCGCGTTCCGTTCTGCTCCGCGGGGCGGGAGGCTGGGAGAGGCTCGGGACGCTGACGCTCGGGCACCAGGACATGGTTGGCCTGTCGCGCCGAAGCGTGGTGGGCCAGAACCAGCGGCGTGACACGCTGGGCCCAAATGCCCGACCGTGTGCTCTTTTGCATCTTGGCCATGCAGTCGCCCACTGCACGAGCAGGCGGAGGGCAGCGCAGGAGTGCTGGTCCGTCTCCGTTTCCCCTTCCGCGTCCTCCTCTTCCGCCTCCTCCTCCTCCTCCACCTCATCATCATCATAATCGTCCTCCTCCTCCCGCTCCTCCTCCTCCTCTTCCTTCTCCTTCTCCTCCTCCTCCTCCTCCTCCTCCTCCTCTTTCTCCTCCTCGTCCTCCTCTCCACCACCCTTTTATCTTGTTCTCCTATTTGTCTTATCCTGCTTTTGCTGCGTCTCCTGATGCTCTCCCCCCTTTCCCCTCTTCTGATGCTCCCCCTCTCCTGATGTTCCCCCTCTTGGCATCGCCCAACCCCTGCTCCACCACGTCCTCCTTCCACCGCCTCCTCCTGCGCGCCCGAAGCCCCACCCCTCCCCCCGCACTCCGAATCATGCCGCCCCGTCCCCCCTCCTCCTGCTCTTCTTTGCCTCCATTGTTTTCTCGTATTGCTCCTGCTTTTCTCGAGCGCGAAAGATACCCGTACCCTTACCTAGACAGGGTGGCAAGGGGCCGGGGGGGCGGTTCGTCGCAGCTGACGGCGGCTGCGCAAGTGTAGCAATGACAGCCGATCGAGCATTACAGACCGCTGTCTTCTCGGGGCGCACGTTAGCACCGATCGCACGTGCGTTCGAATCGGCGGAGTGCCCGACCCTGCGTTGGTTGTTGTCGATGTAGACCAGCTACTGCGGAGGCGCGCCCCCAGACACACATCCGGGCGTTGAAGAGTCAACGAGCACTCGGGGGCGCATGCGAACAACTCTGGCGCGAACGTCATTGCGCGACAACCGCCTTATCGCGAATTGCTCGATGCAGAGACATCGCGAATCTGTGCCCTGGGCGAGGTCGCCAGAGGCCGCCCCCCTTGGACGGCCGTCTGCGGATCACCCCAGCTAGGTACGGTTGCCCCATGAAAACCCAAAACACATACCCGTACCTAGCCGGGGTGCCGCAGCTCACCCCAGCTAGGTCCGGGTATGTTTCGGTGGTTTCACGCAGGTCCCCGTACCCAGCCGAAGTGGCGGCAGGCCCAAAACGCTCTCGAGCACATATCATGCCCTCCAGAGCCGTCCCCGACGTGGCCGCTGCGGCCCCCGCGGGGGCGCGACCTTGCAACGTCGTTCCTCAGGGCAGGCCCAGACGCATTGGTTGCCAGGATAGCGAGGACATGCAACTCTGTATCGATTGGGACAGGCGCCGCCACATATGGGCGGCTTTGAACCGCGCACGCACCACGATGCCCCGAGACGCCCCTAACAAAAACCAGCGCTTGTCGCTGCAATCAGACACCCAACGATCGAGCGCGCCGTTGCGTCTTGACGCGCGGATGCTGCACTGGCGCGCGCGGGGCAAGCTGACCGGGCACAGTAGCAAGCGCCCAGTCCCCCGGACGGCCCATCTCACCTTGGCTGGCCCCGGGTACGGGTATCTTTCGGACCAATGAGCTTTGGCTCCTCCTGATCCTCCTGCTCCTCCTCTTCTTCTTCCTCCTCCTCCCCCCCTTCCTCCTCCTCTTCCTCCTCCTCCTCCTCCTCCTCCTCCTCCTCCTCCGCCTCCTCCTCCTCCTCCTGCTCCACCTCCTGCTCCTCCTCCTCCTCCTCCTTGTTCTTCCTCCTCCTCCTCCTCCTCATTATCCTTCTCCTCTCCTCCTCCTCCTCCTCCTCCTCTCTCCTCCTCCTCCTCTCCTCCTCCTCCTCTTCCTCCTCCTCCTCCTCCTCTTCCCCTCCAGCGAGCGGGGGGGCCGGCAAAAGACGGGCGCGGGCCAGGGGCGCGCGGTAGCGAAGGGCACTTCGTCACCTGGCACACGTAGGGGTCGTACATCCGGCTCTTCCGGTAGACGTCGCATATCCTCCCCTCCTCCGCCTCCAGGGAGGAGCAGGAGAGGCCACCTCCTGTCCTTCTCCTCCTCCTCCTCCTTTTCCTCCTCCTCTTCCTGCCCCCCCCCCCCCCCCAAAAAAAAAACACACTGCTCCGTCTCCTCTTCCTCCATCCAGTCTGCGTGCTATCTCTCTATATGTACAGATATCCGACGACACGCAAGTAAACGAGCAATTCTCAATCCGCCTGCTCATCCTCGCATCCACCTTCTCCTCCTCCGCCTCCTCATCCTGAGGTCCTCCTCCTCCTCCTCCATCGGCCCTTCTGCTTTCACCAAGCTCACACCTCTTCCACTCACTGGCCCTCCTCCTGCGTCTACTCCCTCCGCCCCGTCCTCCTCCTCCTCCTCCTCCTCCTCCTCCTCCTCCTCCTCCGCACATTGTCATTATCCTTTGATATGCTCTCCCGGCCACTCCTCATCCCCCCTCTCCCTCCTCAGCATCATCCTGTGCATCCTCATCCTCCTCCTCTTGTTCCTCGTCCTCCTCCTCCTCCTCCTCATCATCATCATCATCATCACCAGCAGTATCATTTTCGTCATCAGCATCATCCTCATCATCAGCAGCATCATTGGCATCATCATCACTATCATGAGTATCAGCATCACCAGCATAACCATCATCACCTGTATCATCAGCATCATCATCGTTGTCCTCACCGTCCTCGATATTATTACGACCACCATGACCACCACCATCACCATCAGCATCATCATCCTCATCATCACCACCATCGTCATCGTCATCGTTATCGTCATCATCGTCACCATCAGCATCATCATAATCACGATCATCATCAGTATCGTCATCATCACCATCATCACCATCCTTATCTTCATCCTCATCACCAGCATCGACATCATCGTCATCATCAGCAGCCTAAGTATATTCATCATCATCCGCACCATCATCATCATCATCATCACCATCACCAACATCCACCAACATCACCATCACCAACATCATCATCAGCATCATCGTACTCAGCATCGCTATCATCCTCACCATCATCACCAGCCTCGTCATCGTCATCGTCATCATCATAAGCATCATCATCATAGTCAGATTCGTGTTGATCATCATCATAATCACCATGTCATTCATCATCCTCATCATCAGTACCACTAGCACCACCATCATCATCAGCATCATCGTCATCATCATCACCACCAACACTATCATCATTAACATCAGCATCATCATCATTATCGTCACCGTTATCATCATCAGCATTATCATCACCATTATCATCATCATCCTCATCCTCATCGTCCTCATCATCATCATCATCATCATCATCATCAGCATCATCATCGTCAGCGGTCCCCATCCTCGTCCCATCTCCTCTTTCTCCTCCTCCTCCTCCTCCTTTCTCTCTCCGGACTCCACGTTCCCTTCCTCCCCCTCTCCCCTTCTCCTCCTCCTCCTGCTCCTCCTCCTCCTCCTACTCCTCCTCCTTCTCGTCCTCTTCCTCCTCATCCTTCACGAGTTGCGCAACCCGAAGATTTTCCCTGTTAGGTGCACGGCACCTACGTCATGCGCTGAGCGTCGACCGAGGTACTCCCATCAAGTTTGCGTTTCGCTTGAGCTATTTTTCACGTTGACCTGTTTGACAGTAGGGCCAACAAACATTTACTCGTCCCTGATTCTAGCACGCATCCTGCTGTCCCTGTCCTCGTCGATGTCGTCGCTGGGCCCCTTCCCCAGCAGCGGCTTGTCGATCCGGAGAATTTTTGTTCGAGGGCATGCGGCCCAGAAGCGGCCCGGAGGACGAAATAGCACCTGCCACGCGAACCATCGGCGGTGGACAAATCTCCCATTCGTAAACCTCCCCTTAGTGAAAACGGCATGGGACCGAAACCGACGGACCTGGACCCGCACAAATGAAGGCCGCGACGCCCTCTCGCGAACCGAAAACGGCCAATTCCTTAATCGACGTGTCAGGGTAGGAGGTCGATCCACCTCCGAAACCAGAGGGTCTCTGGAGGTCCCTGGCCCGGAGGCCTTCCCAGAGGTCCCCGAAGGCATCCAGAGGCCCCAGAGACCGCAAGGCCATTCCGAGGCACCTCTTAACCTCCGTCCTCGAACCTCGACCGCCCGGGCCACGGGAGGGCGGGGAGAAGGAGGAGCAGAGAGGAGGGTGGAGGATAAGCAGAGGGGGGGGAGGAGGACGAGGAGGAGGAGGAGGAGGACGAGGAGCAGGAGGTGGATGAGGAGGAGGAGGAGGAGGAGGAGGAGGAGGAGGAGGAGGAGGAGGAGGAGGAGAGGAGGAGGAGCAGGAGGGAGGCGGAAGAAGGGGCGGAGTAGGAGGAGGAGGATGAGGAGGAGGAGGAGGAGGAGGAGGAGGAAGAGGAGGAGGAGGAGGAGGAGGAGTAGGAGGAGGAAGGGGAGGAAGTGGAATGATGGTGATGGTGATGATGACAATGCTAATGATGTTGATGCTGATGCTGATGCTGATGATGATGCTTATGATGATGATGCTGATGATGATGGTGTTTATGATGCTGCTGCTGATGATGATGGTGAGGGTGATGATGATGATGATGATGGTGATGATGATGATGCTGCTGATGATGATGATGATTAGGAGGAGGAGGAGGAGGAGGAGGAGGAGGAATAGGAGGAGGAGGAGGAGAAAGAGGACGAGGAGGAGAAATGAAAGGAGGGAGGGGGAGGAGGAGGAGGGGGGGGAGGAGGACGAGGAGGAGAAGGAGGAGGAGGAGGAGGAGAAGGAGGAGCAGGGAGGGGGAGGCGAAAGGGGGAGGGCGCAAGGCTGCATCGGATGACCCAGCTGCCCCCTGCCCTGGAGCGCACAGGAGCAGCAGTTGCAGCAGCAGCAGCGGCAGCAACAGGGAAGCGGGGGAAGGGACAGGGAATCCAGACTACCGACGTCATGATTTTTGTTTAGAACCTCGCCCCCCAGATCGAGAATCTTATGACCCTGGTCAATCCAGACCCGGATCAGCCCGGCCTTGCAGAATCCGGCACAAAACTGCAGGATCCTGCAGGCTCCTGCACCCACGCCCGGGTCAGTGCAGCCCTGGCTCTGCAAGATCCTGCAGGATCCGGCGCTTGGACTGACCCCAATTTGCATTGAACCCCGTCTCTAGAGCCTCGACAAGAGGTCTCGACCCATTCCCTGGGACCGGTTTTTCATCCCGAGAATCGATTTTGGACGGCCCCGAGGCCTGGCAACGGGCCCCCCAGGGACCGAACACAGCGAACAAAAAACTGTGCGTCGATGGCTCGATGGGGTGGTCTGGGAGGCGGGACGTGAGGGTCACACCACGCAGGGAGCGGACCCCGAGGGAAACAGGCCCCAGACCACCCGGGCATGGCTCCCTGTGCCAGGGGTTTGGTTGCCCCAAAGGGGGCCAGCTGAAAAGGGGTGGCGCAACGGATGTGGGGCAAGAGTACGTAGTACTGCAAATGGATTGCGCCAGAGAGTTGCGTTGCTTGGTATTGCAGCCAATGCACTGCGCGCGAAAATCCAGCAACACATCTGCGCACGGGAATGTATCGCACGCATCTAGTCGATTGCAGCCCCACAGATCGATTGCACCAAATCTATTGCACCACCCCCTTTCAGCTGGACCCTCCTCTGGGTCTACCAGAACGGGGCCCCGGGTGCCGGGGAGCAGCCAGGCACCTCAGGAGCAGCGGCCCGAATCTCGAGGCCGCGGAGCTCCCGCACGACGCAGGGAGACAAACAACCTGTTTCCACCGCGCGATTTCATGGAGAGGACACACTGGCCATCGCTCGGTCGTCCATTCCCTGTGCTTTTGTTCGGTTTCGTGCGTGGCTTTTTCGCCAAATGATCAAGGATGCTCCTCGAAGGTCCTCGCCGAAGGAAAAATGCACACGTCCGAGCGATGCCAGGCACATGGCAGCTGGGGGGAACGAGAGCGCGAGGCACGCTGCAGGACAGGAGCCCCGACCGCGCACGGAGCCGACTCGACGGGCTGCCCTGCGAGCGTGGCCGCAACTCCAGCGATCGGTGTCGACCGCAGGGCAAATACGTATTGCAAACACCTGCGATGCAGAGAGCCGTACTGATACTGTACAGTCGGGGCGTTGACCTAAGGAACCCTAAATAAGGAACGAAGCCCATTTTTTTCCATAAGTTAAACTTCGCTTTCCGATCGGAAACATAAGGACAACCTGAGGCAAGCTGGGAAGCACGTAAGGAACGCGGAGCCCCTCCCCAACGAAAAGGGTTCCTTCTTCAGGGCCCCGACTGTAGGACCCTCGTGCATGCGACCGCCCGACCAGAACATATAGCACACCACCTTATAGCATGTCAGCCCCAGGGCGGGATGGCCACAGAACGGCAGCGACGGCGTTCATGATATGAGATGTTCCAGTGTCTGCGCGGATTCTGTGGATACGGCGCACACATAGTATTAGCAGGTCTGGGTGTTCCCGGCGTGAACCCTACCCCTGCAGGTCAGAATTCGTGAAACATGCGCACAACTGAACCCCTGGGCAGATGCCCGATATCCCAGCGTCGGTGGAACCCGCGGGGATAGGGTTCGCGAGTGGTCGCAGAACCTGGACCCCCAGAGATCTTCGCCCCTTCCCAGCACCAGCAATCATCATGAGTAGCTTTGTTGACGGTCCCGCGGACTGCAACAAGCCTCTTCATCGAACTTGTCACCACAGTGGATGTCCAGGTCTGCTCTCCATGGCGGGAGGAGCCGCCCACCAGGACGCGTCTGCTCAACTATATACAAGTCGTCGACGTCGCCGTCGCCGTCGTCGTCGTCGCCGCCGCCGCCGTCGTTGTCGCCGTCGTCTCGAGATCTTCGATCCTCGACGGTCCTCGACAGCGAGGGGGAACATTTCGGGGGGGAGGGGCGACTCGGGGGGGGAGACGTCGGGAGGGGATCGGCGCTACGCCTCGCCGCCGACGAGTCGGCGAGGAGGCCCCCCTGGGTGGCAGGTCCGCACGCTCCCGGGAAGGGGGCGGGCGAGGCGTTCCCCCGCGGAGCCTGCCCCCCGTCGCCGCCGCCGTCGCGACGACGACGACGACGACGGGCGATCCTCGATCGATCGAGAGGCCTCGACGCTCGACGGCCCGAGGCGCCGCCCCGCCTTCCCGCCGCGCCTCGCGGCGCGCGGCGCGGGGCCGTCGTCGCGCCCCCGCGCACCCCCCGCGGAGAGGGGCAGCGGCTCTGGCCCGGGGCGCGGAGCCCGAAGCGCGCTCGGCGCCGCGCCCCCCCGCGGGCGGCCGGGGCGTCCCTCCAGGACCCGTTCGCTCTCTCTCCGCGACGACGAGCGACGACCTATTCGTCGATCGGTCGAGATCCTCGATCGGTCGACGGTGCGCGCCCGGGGGGTCGTGGACGGAGGTGGGGGGGATCAGCTTGGGGCGAGGAAGCGGGCGCCTGCCTCACGCCCGTCGGGCCCCATCGTGGGGCCACTCCGGGGCCCCTTCCTGGGCCCCTCTCTGGGCGCCTCTCCTGCAGTCCTCGACCCTCCCTCCACCCTGCTCCTCGAGCGAGGAGCGGGGGCCGCGGCCATCGATCCAGGATCGAGGACCCATCGCTCCTCGATCCGCCGGGGATCGATCGCTCCATCCATCGATCGAGGATCGAGGATCCATCCGATCCTCGATCCTCGATCCTCGAGTCGAGGATCGATCGAGCATCGATCGAGGATCGATCGAGGACCGATCCTCGATCCTCGATCGATCCCCGAGGCGCCGCCCCGCCCCGCCACTGCGTCGCCCGGTAGCTGGCGAAGGCGCAGAGCGCCCAGGCGCCCAGCGCGCAGGCCCACGCCCACCAGGGGAGGCAGCGCAGCAGGGCCCGCGCGGCGAGCCCGGCCCGGGAGCCTCGCGGGCGCGGGGCGGGGGCGGCGGGGGGGGAGGGGAAGGCTGCGCGACGAGGTCTGCTCGCGATGATCCAGCGCAACATGATTTATGATGAGTGCATACATAAACGTATAGATATATGTATATATCTATATATATATATACACTTACAAATAAAATCCGTAAATAGATCCACATACATACGTACATACATGCACCAGTTCATGTGTGCCTATACACCTGTGCATATCCATATTTATATATATATATATCTATATATATATATATGTCTATCAGAATGGGGGGGGGGGGGGGGGCGAACGGTCACTCATTGTCCCTGGATGCGTGGCTTAAGTGCGGATCCGTGTTGAGGATTCTGCTTGTTGCGTTGTTGTTGCTGTTGTTGTTTGTTGTCGTCGTCCGCCCCGCGACCCGGCCCCGCGACCCACCCGCGACCCACACCCCGCGACCTGCCCGCGACCCACCCCGCGACCCGCTCGCGACCCACCCGCGACCCCGCGACCCACCCGTGACCTGGCCCGCGACCCACCCGCGACCCACCGTCGACCCACCGTCGACCCACCTGCGACCCAACCCGCGAGCCACCTACATTGCTTTAACAAAAAATCGGCGCCTGCGGCGGGCTCGTTGTATAGCTTGAAGATGTTGCGCCTGCGGCGGGCTTTTTCAGAGCCTCGCAGACTGCAAACGTCCCCGCCGCCCCCTCACTCTTATCCGCAACTGCGGGGTGCTACGTATTTGTATATACACACATTCACATCTGCACTGCTGCTGGTCGGGCCAATCCTTGGCCCAGGGGCGGCGTCTGCGCCTTGCTGGCTCGGCTGGGGAGGCCAGTACGCCGTTCCTGGACCCGGATGGGCATGGCCAGCCAGGGGCAAGGTAGGCTGGGGGAGAGCCGCAGAAGGAACCAAAGGTGTGCCCAGTAATACGTCCGTCATCCTTCGCGTCCTGCTGCTCCTCCTCCTCCTCCTCCTCCTCCTCCTCCTCCTCCTCCTCCTCCTCCTGGTCCTCCTCCTGCTTCTTCTCCTCCTCCTGCCCTGCCTGCTCCGAGTAGGAAACCATACGTGTGAATATGTGCATATGCACGTGTGTGTTTGTAGAACTATATATGCACATGTATGTATGTATGTAAACCTATAATATGTGTATATATACATATATAATCACTCGTACTTCTATATATATAGAAGTATGTACACAAACTTTCGGATATCCGCACGGATTTCTTGGATCTGCGCTGGACCTGCGCGGATGTTTTGGATCTGCGCTGCGTCATAGTAGGGCCCGGAGCACCAACAGAACCCTGAGGAGCTTGCCCCTAAACAGCTTGTCTGTAAGGGCCCTACGGGGGCACCTGGATCTGGAATCGCTCGGGCGCAGACTGTCTCCCGCTGCCTCGCGATGTCTTCTGCTGTCCCGCTGTCGCCTGTGTCTCATGTTGTCTCCCGTTGTCGTCCATTGTCTTCCGTTGCCTCCCGTTCTCTCTCTCGTTGTCGCCGCTTGTCTCCCGTGCCCTCCCGTTATTGCCCGCAGTCTGCGGTTGTCTGTCCTTGTCTCGTGTTGTCTTCCGTTGAATCCCGATGCCTCTGGTTGTTCCCCATTGTGTCCCGTTTTCTCTCTATCCCTATCCTTCGCCTTCTATCCTGAGCCCTGTCCCTCACCCGATCACTATCTTTAAACCTATATCCCTTTCCATTGTTTCCTATATTGACAACCCTGTCCTGTATCCTTTTATATTCGTATTCGCCTTCGCATTCGTAACCGTAACCCTGGGCAGTGGAACGTGGTACCGTTCGGACAAACACTAGCAGTACTACGAGTGGCGATGTCGACACTGCCACCAGCTTCCTGCACACGCCGTCTTTGAGGCTCCCGTGCCGCTCGCCCGAGGACCTCCGGTACGGGCATCGCCGGAGCGGGCGCCCTGCTCTCCCGTGGCCTCCCGTGGCCTCCCATCGCAGCAGCATCGCTGCTCCCGCGGCCTCCCGTGGTCCCCCATCGCCATGGCACCGGTGGCATCGGCATCCGTACTGTTACTGCCAGTCGTGCGAGCGGTCACCTGCGTGGAACTCGTGTTCGCGCCCATGTATGCAATCGGATGGATAACACAGCATCAGAACGCAATGCCGTTACCCTGAGCACCAATAGTAACCCTGGTTGAAATATTGGACTTCGCATTCTCCACAGAATTCGCACTGTGCATTCGTATCAGCACTTTGCATTGCCATGTTAGCCAGCGCGTACCCCAGGCAGTGGGCCATTTCACTGCAGAGGTGGAAGCTGTGCGCATCTGGGGCAAGCCATGCCGTGCAAAGTGGCATTGGCGACGGAGGTGCTCGCGCAGGCGATGTGGTGTGAGCGAACCTCCTGTAATCTAGGTGGAATGAACTGGAGCTGCGTCGGGCCAGTCCCCCTACAGGGGGATTTTGGACGAAATTTTTTTTAAAAAAGGTCCAAAAATACCCCGAAGTGGTCAAACACATACTCAAAAATCGTCCCCAGGCTTATGTTTTGACTGTCTTTGAAGATTCCCCCTGTAGAGGGACAGGCCCGACTTAAAAAGCTGGAGGCCAGAGCTCTAATTTTGTGAGCCGCGTGCTGTCCGCAACGCCGCGCCACCTCGGCGGACCCATCGGGTCGGGCGAAAGGGGGAGATAGCAAAGGGGGTGTTTGAGAATCAGCTCACGTGGCTGATTTCCCTGGTGCCTCCCGGCGCTGGAGGCGGCCAAGTAGCGAGGAAGGGGCCCCTCGGTGGGGCCGAAACCAGCTGCATGCAGCAGATTTCGTAACCCCCCCCTTTCCCAATCCCCCCCTTTCGCCCGGCCCGACCCCGGTCATCACCCCTCTCTGGGCCGCCCTGGAGCACTGAAAAGCTGACCCGCTGGCTGGACTGCGAGCAGGGAGGAAGGCAATCGGGGAACAAAAAAGTGACATGAACATAGAATCTCGGAGGTCCGCGCGGATTTCTCGGATCGGCGCTGGACCCCCCTCCCTGGCGCGCGGAGCGCGCCAGGGGCGGCGCCGGAGGCGCCGCCGGGGGGCCCCAGCGCCGATCCGAGGAATCCGCGCGGACCTCAGAGTTTCTATGTCTCTGTTCATGCCACTTTTTTTGGTCCCCTGTTCGCGCTCTCGCGCCGCCTCCCAGGGGAGCAGAGGAGGAGGAGGAGGGTAGAGGAAAAAAAAAACAATGCGCTGGACCCCCCGAACCCGGCCAGCGCCCCGGGGCGCAGCCGGCGCCCGAGCCCGGCCAGCAGCCACGCGGGGGCGCCAACAGGGCGCGCGCCCTCGGGGCGCCCCACGGGCGGCAGCAGCGCGTGGCGCGGCCTCGGCGGGCCCGCCTTTTGGCGCACGGGGCGCCCTTAAGGCGCGGTGCCCGAGGCGGGCGCACCACGGTGCCGCAGGAGCGCACGGCGAGCCCCTGAGCGCCAGCACGGCATGGGGAACTGTGGGTCTCGGCATGCGTCCCAGCGTCAGCGTCACAAAATTGTGTGCACTCTCCGGGCATCTCCTCGGGGGTCCTCTGACGCGGGTCAATCCAAACCCGGGTCAATCAGGCCTTGCAGAATCCTGCAAAATCCTGGAAAATCCTGCACCCAAACCCGGGTCAATGCGAAGGATCCTGCAAGATCCTGCAGGATCCTGCACCCAAACCCGGGTCAATGCGACCCTGGCCCTGCAGGATCCTGCAAGGTCGGGGCGCTCTGGCTGACCCCCGTTTGCGTTGACCCCCGTCTCGAGGCTCCCGATCTCCGCCCATGCCCCTCTCTCCGGCCCGTGGTTGAGAACTGTTCGGGGCACTCTGCCGCAAGGGTCTGCTCACACAGTTGTTTCTTGTTCTGGGGACGGGAGGGCCACAGAGCGAGCCCAAGATATGCCAAGTACGGCACGCTCATGCCGTGGCGGCCCTGGTTCTGGTTTCTGGCACTGCGTGGGTCGTTCAGCCTTGAACGGCGGGCGGCGTGTCGATCGCCAGACCAGTCGGCTGCCAGCCGACCAGGGGAAAGATAGTACCCGAGTGAGCCCACGTTGTGCGCTGCGCAGCAGGCGCACACGATAAGAAATTCTGATCCATGGAATCTGGGGGCATCTCCTTCGTCGACGCTGAGCTGGGCAAGGAGCCCCAGGGTTCAGCAGGCCCATCGGGAGATGAGAAGTGATCGTGGGGCACCCGGTGGCAGAGGGGGGGAAGGGGAGCACCACAGCGTGATCACACGGCACGCTGAGCTCGACACTCTCGTGCCGCTTCGACCCTGGCCCTGGCTTCTGACACCACGTGGCTCGTTCCACCTCGATCGGCAAGCGGCTTGTCGATCGTCAGATCGCTCCATATCGCCCACTTCCGGGCCACTGGCAGCCTTCAACCCAGATCGCCCACGGCAAGATTGCTGCCGCGTCGGCACGACACGAACCTCTCGCAGTCCGTCTCTCTCCAGCGGGCGCCCCCGTGAACAAAGACGAGCGCGCTGCGAACGAGGGGATGGGAGGAGGAAGGCGAAGGACGATCAGCACGGATCCACCAGCGTGGGCTGAGGAGCGAGGCGCCGTTGGTAAAGCACACGGGGTCAGCGTTGAACGAGTTGTTAGCACCCGAACTGAGACGGGGGGGCAGCAGGAGGAGAGGGAGGTGGTGCACGAATGAGGCAGAGGGGGAGGAAGGAAGGAGGAAGGAGGGAGGGAGGAGGAAGGAGGAAGGAGAAAGGAGGAAGGAGGGAGGGAGGGAGGACGATGGAGGATGGAGGAGGATGGAGGAGGGAGAAAAAGAGTGTGCGGGAGAAGAAGATGAGATAAGAAAGCGGCCTAAAGCCAGTCCTGAGCGCGTCTAGCCCTCTGCTGCCTCTGCGTCCGAGGCGCCGTCGCCCGTCTCCCCTGCTTCCGAGAGGGGGCGCTTCCCCAGGGAAGTCGGGGGGGCGGGAGGATGGAGGAGGAGGATGGAGGAAGAGTGATGGGGAATGGAGGAGAACGGAGGAAGGCGGAGGAGGATGCAGCGGGATGCAGGGACAAGGACCCCGAGGTCCGACGTGGCGAAGACATGCGGCGTCTTGAGCAATCACCCCAGAGCCCTGGACCCCACCTTCTTCCGGGGGCCTGGAACCGAGGCAAGACCGCCCGTGGCGAAGCAGACCGGACGGCAGGATCTCAGGGGAGGAGGACGGAATCGGGGATCGACGTTCAATCCATACCCCTGCTGCGGCCCCCGCTCTTGGCCTCCAACGGCTGGATTTGTTCCATGCCCCCGCTCCGCCTCTGCGTACCGCTCTGGGATGAGCAGGAGCACGGGCACGGACGGGAAACTCTTGGATGGCGTGTCGTCACGGCGGCCCTTGGCCACGCGCTATACCCTGCGAGCGGATAGCGTGTCGCTCCGCGCCGCAGGAGGAGCGCCGCGGAATGGACGCCGCGGAGGGCAGGAGCAGGGGCATACGTCGCGAAGGCGTCGTCGTCGTCGTCGTCGTCGTCGTCGCCGTCGTCGTCGTCGTCGTCGTCGCCGTCGTCGTCGTCGTGGGCGTCGTCCTCGTCGCGAAGGGGCGCCGCGGAGAGCCCGTCGCGCTCAGGACGTCGGCGCCGCCCGGGCGGGGGGCGGCGCCCAAGGCGCCCGCCGGCGCGGCGGAGGCCCCCTCGGGCCCCGCCGTGGCGTTCCAGGCGTCGGCGTTCACCTCGGCGCCGTCGCCGCTGCGCTGCTTCGTCGCCAGTCGGGCGGAGAGGAGGAGGAGGAGCAGGAGGAGGAGGAGGAAGAGGAGGAGCAGGAGGAGGAGGAGGAGGAGCAGGAGGAGGACCAGCGTGAGCCCAAGAGTCATCAACGATGTTGGACTCAACCCTCCCTCCGAGCTCCCTCTTCGGAGGCCCCCACAGCGGTTCGTTTCCATTGAGGGAACTGCCTCGTTGGAGGACAACCGTTTGAAGACCCTGAAGCATGCCAAAACAGTGTTCTCGGGATTTCAACACCAGGGATCAACCTGACTGCTGCGTCTTGACGATCCTGAACCGTGCCAGATCGCCATTCTTGAAACTTCAATACCGCGCACCAGTGTAATTCTTGCACCCGCATAATCTGGAGTCCTTGCAGACCACCATGTCTGTTTCGTTGATCATGGGAGTCGCTGCAAAGTCTTGAAATCTGTTACACCGAATGCGCGCGGAGCTGAAGCGAGAACCGCAGTTTGAAAACCACCCGCTCTCAATCCGTAAAACTTCTGCAATTTAGCGTAACGAAAATGCGCGGCGCTAAAGCGAAAACCGCATTTTTAACAAGAACCGCCCTCAACCCGTGAATCGCTTGCAATTCTTTCAAACGAAAATGCGCGGCGCTGGGGCGAGAACCACATTTTGAAAACCGCCCGCCCTCAAACCGTGAAACTTTTGCATTTTGTGCAACGAATGTGCGCGGCGCTAAGGCGAGAACCACGTCTTGAAAACCACGAACCACATTTTGAAAAGGACCCGCCTTCAATCCGTGAAACTCTTGTATTTTGTGCAACGAATGTGCGAGGCGCTAAGGCAAGAGCCACATTTTGAAAACTACCCGCCCTCCAGCTGTGAAACTGTTGCCACTTTTTTCAGCTGCAGAACCACATGAACTGTTCATGGTGAGGAAGTCTCAAGCGAAACGCCCGACCCGCTCTAAAAACTGGCGTCGGGGTGCGACAGGGAGAAGTTCTTTATAAGGAACAGGAACGGAGGAGAGTGACGAACACGGGAACGAAGAACAGGGAGTCATTCTCCTCGCTCCTCCATCCTTCTCCTCCTCCTCCTCCTCCTACTCATCATCATCGTCCTCCTCCTCCTCCTCCTCCTCCTCCCCCTCCTCCCCCTGCTTCTCCTCCATTTCCTCCTCCTCCTCCTCCTGCTCCTCCTCCACCCAGCCTTCCTTCAGAGCCTCCCTCCTCACTCCTCCTGGTCCGCCTCCTCCTTGTCTCCTCCTCCTCCTCGTCCTCCTCCTCCTCCTCGTCAAGAGTGAAGCCCTGAAACCCAATATTCAACTGGCGCCAACGCAAAGCAACAACGACCCCCTTGAAGGCCGTTGGTCCGCCCCTGGCCACATAAGACAGCTATAAGGCAACCTCCAGCGCAGTAGGCCCAGCAAAGACGATGGCGCCCAGACAATGGTGGTTCCGCCCCCACTTGACACGTCTCTCCCGTATGCGCGCAGCGTTGCACATGCCCGCGGCATCGATGGAAGTAAACATATGACGCGTTCATAATGCGCCAGCCACCTGTCGGTCCCAGACTCCAGCGGCTCGGCCCTAAAAGGTGCTTTGGTCCAGGTCGCCCCGCAGAATCAACATCAGCCGCGCTGCCGTGTTCTGCCTCTTCTGCAGATCAATGGCGTCCTGTGCTGCACTGACCATGGGTTTGCGCCACCCGCCTGTCCCACCAGGTCTCCGCTGCCCACCTCCTGGCCCCACCTGCCCCTGCAGCTTGGCCCAGACCTCGACGGTCCGCCTCGGGAACAGCCCATGGATAGGGATCGACGGCTCTCTCCCGGAGGTGGCTGCTGCCACGTGATGTAAGATCTTCGGGATGAAAACGGCATGAACGACTCCCCCAACTGGCATTTGCTCAAAGCTTCGCATACATACCGCGACGGCGACCAGGCAACGGCTCGTGACCGTATGATACCTGGATGCAAACGGCTCTCCCCCAGGGATCGACGGCTCTCCCCCTGGGATCGACGGCTCTCCGCCTCGGTGGCCTTTGGCCTGGTCGCACGCCAAACGAAAAGCATCCGGAAGCACCCGGAGCAGCTTCCGAACAGCAGTGGGCGCAATGCCCGCCAGACCAATTTGCGACCGGGTGTCGCGCGACAACAAGGTCATCCTCTCTGCATGTGTAGAGGCCCTCTAGATGGGGTCCGAGTAGATGAGGTCGGACGATTGCGCCGCATCGCAAATGCATCGCCGATGCATCACCAATGCATCGCCGATATATCGGCGACGTCGGCGGCGTATCGCCGACGTCGGCGGCGCATCGGCGACGTCGGCGTGGAGAAAATCGAATCGGGCTCCGAATCGAGCCGCAGCGGCAATGCATCGGCGATGCGGCGCGATTCTCCGACACCATCTACTCGGACCCCATCTAAGCGACCTGGAATGTCGTACTCTCTGCATGTGGCTGCGCCGTGAGGAAAAGCAACGCCGGTGACTCCTCACGTTTGACATCGCTCTTCTGCGCTCTGGCTAGCCCCGCTGGCTGCTCGGGCCTCTCCGGAATGTGGCATGCACGAGCCGACTGGTGCAGGAAGACCTTGCCCGACCCCTGTGGGAACCTGGGAGAATCCAGGGCAGCGCTAGACCCCGCACCAGGTAACCCGCCAGACCCAGCCGAAACCGAAGGCTCCGCTGTCCAGTCCGGCCCAGCAGCCTTGTGCTGGCCACAGCGCGTGAGCAATGGATGAAACTGCACCAGCGCGGATGCCTTCAGCACGCCGCCCATGCCTTGACCGCCTTCGAAGAAAGCGAAGGATCCGCTGGCAACCGAACATCAGGCCGCCGAAGCCAGGTTCAGTTGAGTTCCTGTGTGCGCGCCGTACCTGCAGCTGCACCTGTCGCACCACCAGCCCCCTGCATCTGAAGCCCGCACCAACCAGGGCCAGGCTCTGGCCCACCACTGCGGGGCTCATGATTTTCGACCCCTGGGAAGCCGTAGGGACTTCCAGGGAAGAGCAGACGCCCGCGCTGGTCGGCCCGCCAGACCGGACAGGAACCCAGGGCTACAGGGCCAACCTGGGATGTTGGACCGGGCGCAGCCCGGCACAGTTCAGAAGCGCCCCTGGCGCTTCGCAAGCCCGACCTTGCGAAGAAACCGACTGTAAAATCAGGAACCTGGCCATCGCTCGGACGTCCTTTTCACGTGCGTTGTTCGATGTCGCGCGTGTACTTTCTCGAAAGATGATCCAGGATGCACCTCGATGGTCCTCGCCAACTAGCCAAAGAAAAATGCACACGTCCGAGCGATGCCAAGGAACCAGCTGGGGTACCTTCACAGGTCGACTATCCAGTGCGGCGGTCGTGTGCTCGGTCAAAGCTGGCGGTCTTGAGCCACGGCGGACTGAGCCACGGTCCGAGCCAAACGACGACTCGAGGGGCGCTGCATGCAGCCGCTGCCACTGCCCTGCCCCATGCCCCCGTGCTCTTTATGACTTCACTATGAGCTCAGGCATGTCCTCCTACAGGCGGATTTTGAAGGAGAAAAAAACCGAAAATCAGCAACGAAGAATCAAAAGAGCAGGAATAATCGTCACCTGACTGTTTTATTTACCATTATTGAATTTCCTCCTGTAGAGGGACTTGTCCGACTTCACTCTATCAACTGGTACCCTCATCAAGGCTCCCTAATCACTTGTGAGCCACGCCGGCTGTGGGAACCTCTACCCGCCCGCAAAAGGCATACACAGCTTCGACTCCACGCAAAGATGTCCACAAATTGAGGGGGGGCCCTGACGCAACTGCATGGTTGCAAACTCCGCCCCACAACGGTGCCTGCACATTGCGGAGGTCAGCCAATCAGGGGTGATAAGGGGGACCCTTTTGTCGCGCCGCCGTTGATCCAACTCCGTGGGACTGTTGAGGCCAGAATCGGGAGCCGCTGTCAGTGACCTGGGCCAGAAGGACCCAAACCACAGAAACGTGCTCTGGCCACCTGGGCTTCCTTTCCCATGTCAAGAGCACCGTGATGGCCCCCAGAAGCCCCCGCTGGGCCAGAAACCCCCGCCCCCCCCAACAAAACCTGCGCAGCCGGCGCAGCCCCCCCCCCCCCCCTTTGCACCTGGAGCTGCGCGAGCACATTCGACGCAAAAGGTCTGCAAACATCTCGGCGGGTGGAAGGCGGGCCGCTGTCACAGTGGGGCCCCCGCCTTCGCGCCGCGCACGCTCGTTTCTGCTTGCAAGCTGCTGAGAGCTCGGCGGACGGAGTGCGGCCGTCTTCGAAATGTGGCTCTCGCATTCGCACGGCAGGAGCAGGAGGAGGAGGAGGAGGAGGAGGAGGAGAGCAGGAGGCGGAGGAGGAGGAGGAGGAGGCGCAGGAGAGCAGGAGCAGGGGAGGAGGAGGAGAGGAGGAGGAGGAGGAGGAGAGGAGGAGGAGGAGGAGGAGGAGGAGGCAGGAGGAGCAGGAGGAGGAGGAGGAGGAGGAGGAGCAGGAGGAGCAGGAGGAGGAGGAGGAGAGGAGGAGGAGGAGGAGGAGGAGGAGGAGGAGGAGAGGAAGAGAGCACACACTCGCCAACAAATGTGCAACAGTTTCAAGGACTCTTACCGCTGACGTCCCAAGAACGTTGAACTGGCACGATTTGGGACTGTCACAACGCGACGGTCACACTGACCTGCGCAGTGGAAGCCCCAGGAACGGTGTTCTGGCACGGCAGCCCAGGAACGGTGCTTTGCGATGGTTGCAGATATTCAGACGGCTGTCTCCAAACGGAGCCCTTCCCGCTACATATATACATATATATGAATATATGTATATATATATTCATATATATATATATCTATATAGAAAGAGATGAAGGGACCTATGACGAGTATACTTGGAGCCCAGTCCATTGCAGGACTACGCGTCTAGCCTTCGTCATGCCAGTACTGTTGCATATGTTTGGCTCCCACATCCCTCCATCCTCCTTCTTCTCCCCCTCCTCCTCCTCCTCCTCCTCCTCCTCCTCCTCCTCCTCCTCCTCCTCCTCCTCCTCCTTCCCCCCTCCTCCTCCTTCTCCTCCTCCACCGCCTCCCTCTCCTTCCCCCTCCTCTGTTCCCCTCTCACTTTTCCTCCGTCACCTGGTGGTCTTGGAACTTTCCGGATGCCCCCGAAGTCCCCAGGTGTCCTGGAATCCCCCCCTGCCCGCTGCAGAAGCCAAGACGGGCACAACGACTGCAGCACAACACTTGCCCTTCCCTCCTCCTCCCCCTCCTCTTCCGAGTGAAGGGAGGGGGGCGGCGGAGGAGGAGGAGGACGTGGAGGTGGTGGGGGTGGAGGGGGGGGGAGGAACATCCCCCTCCCCAAGACCCTGCGCCCGCCGCCCGGGCCGCGGCCGCCGCAGCCTCGCACCAGTCCATGCCCGCCGGCTGCTCGCAGTAGCGGGCAGAGGAGGTGTCGTTCGAGCAGCGGAACCAGGCGATGAAGCAGGCCGTCCTGCCCGAGGGCTGGCACCAAGGGGGAGGAGCGGCCTTCTCATCCCCCTCCTCCTACCTGCGCCTCCTCCCAAATCAGAAACGCTGGAACATGTGAAAGCAGAGATTGCTTCAACTGCAAACTGATAAACAATTGGTCATCGTCGTCGCCGTGGTCCTCCTCCTCCTCCTCCTCTTTCCGCATTGGGGATGAGGTCGAGTTGAGACAAGCTCGCCCAAAAGAGAGAAGGGAGGGGGAGAAACAGGATGATGATGTGGGGGGAGGAGGACGAGGAGGAGGAGGCGGAGGAGGAGGAGGAGGAGGAGGAGCAGGAGGAGGAGGAGGAGGTGGAGGTGCACGAGTAGGAGCAGGAGGATGAGGAGGAGGAGGAGGAGCAGGAGTAGGAGCAGGAGGTGGAGGAGAAGGAGGAGGAGGAGGAGGACGAGGAGGAGGAGGAGGAGGGGGGGGAGGAGGAGGAGGAGGAGGCGGAGGAGGAGGAGGAGGAGGAGGAGGAGGAGGAGGAGGATGAGGAGGAGGAGGAGGAGGAGGAGGAGGAGGAGGGGGCAAGGAGGCGGACGAGCAGGTCGAGGAGGAGCGGGGCGAGGAGGAAGTGGGCAGAGGGCGGAAGCATGAGGGAGTTGGGAGGAGGGAGGTCCAAGGCTGGATGGGCCTCAGGGGGGAGGCAGGATCAGGAGAAAGAAGCAGTGATGGGTAGATTGCTAAGCTCGCTGTAAGCCTAAAGCGCACCAGCAGATCTGTAACGACTATGTGGGTACCAGAAAACGACTGGAGACAGATCGATGGCCCCCAGAATGTGTGTTAGCGCCCACATGTGCTCGTGCACCGAAGCCCTCCAATATGACGCAAGCGGTGCAGTGAGGGCCAGCACAAGCTGCGTGCTACCGATGGAACTGAACGGGATGACACACATATCCTAACACATACCCTGAGGAGAACATCGGGCTCACATACCCGAAGGTCACACACACACACACACACATCGGGCTAACACATATCCTAAGGGTCACACACAAATCGGGCTAACACATGTCGTGAGGATAGTCGAATTTGGACAGACGCAAGAGACGCATAAGCCAGCAGTTGGCCGACAGCAAGCCACACACACACACTTCAAGTCTTCAGTACGGTGGACAACCGTCGGTCACTGACTGACGCCATGAGGAGGAGCGGAGTCTACAGGTCCCTGCTTCGTACCAGCGGCCGTGTCGAAGCTGTCCGTGGAAGAGACGTATCCCATAACATCACCTGGTTGGTCCCGGCTACCGTCGGGGCGTGGACCTGGGGAACCCTGAAAAAGGAACGATGCCCCTTTCATCCATAAAAAACCTTCGATTTTCCATCGAGAGCATGTGAAAGCAGAGATTGCTTCAACTGCAAACTGACTACACAATTGGAAGGAACATGCTCGTCGTCGTCCTCGTGGTCCTCCTCCTTCTCCTCCTCCTCCTCCTCTTCCTCCTCCTTCTCCTCCTCCTCCTCTTTCCGCATTGGGGAGGAGGTCGAGTTGGGACAAGCTCGTCCAAAAGAGAGAAGGAAGGGGGAGAAACAGGATGATGATGTGGGGGGAGGAGGACGAGGAGGAGGCGGAGGAGGAGGAGGAGGAGTAGGAGTAGGAGCAGCAGGACGAGGAGGAGGAGAAGGAGGAGGAAGACGGGAGGAGGAGGTGGAGGAGGCGGAGGAGGAAGAGGGGGGCAAGGAGGCGGACGAGCAGGTCGAGGAGGAGCGGGGCGAGGAGGAAGTGGGCAGAGGGCGGAAGCATGAGGGAGTTGGGAGGAGGGTGATCCAAGGCTGGATGGGCATCAGGGGGGAGGCAGGATAAGGAGAAAGAAGCAGTGATGGGTAGATTATTAAGCTCGCTGTAAGCCTAAAGCGCACCAGCAGATCTGTAACGACTATGTGGGTACCAGAAAACGACTGGAGACAGATCGATGGTCCCCAGAATGTGTGTTAGCGCCCACATGTGCTCGTGCACCGAAGCCCTCCAATATGACGCAGGCGGTGCAGTGAGGGCCGGCACCAGCGGCGTGCGACCGATGGAACTGAACGGGAAGAACACACACAAACACACATCGGGCTAACAAATGTCCCGAGGACACTCGAACTGGGCAGACGCAAGAAGCGCATGAGCCAACAGTTGGCCGACAACAAGCCGCACCCTTCGAGTCTTCAGTACGGTAGACACCTGTCGACCGCTGGCTGACACCATTGGGAGGAGCGGAGAACACAGATCCCTGTTTCATACCAGCGGCCGTGTCGGAACTGTCCATGGAAGATGAGTATGCCATACAGTCGGGGCGTTGACCAAAGGAACGATGAACAAGGAACGCAGCCCCTTTTTCCTGAAGTTTAACTTCGATTTCCGTTCGAAAACCGAAGGTCGAACTAAGGAAAACAGTAAAACAACCAAGGAGCACGGAACCCCTCCCAAACGAAAAAGGTTTCTTCTTCAACGCCCCGACTGTAACATCACTTGGTTGGTTTCGGCTACACCGTGGGATGAGATTCCAAATCCTTCGCCAGGTGCTTGGGAATCACCCCATCTCTGATCGATCGGTCAGCTACCATTGGGGTAGGGCGTTCCCACCCCTGAGCACGATGCTCGACCCACCAAACTTCCAAACTTCCTGTGAAGACTGTCTTCTGGCTGCCCACAGGGATGCCCCAGGGCCAGTCGGGGCCATCGGGCTGGCACTCCAACTCCAAAGGAGGGGGGGGGCGAAAGAGAGAGGACAGATCTGGGTGAAATCCCTGCTTCAGCGTTTCATGCCCATGCTCTCTGGCCGGTGTGGGCCAGCACGTTGGCCTCGCGAGCCCGAGGAGGTATTGGCGGGAGGAGGGCGAGACGCGTGAAACACTGCCCGAAGCTCTGTCGTCGCACACCCCTGTCTGCTCTAGCTCTGGGCAGCGATGGGCGGCGGAGGGAGCTGCGAGGAGGGATGATTCAACGCCTCGGCAAGACCGAGACGGCCACGGGCGAGCAGAAGCGGGAGCAGGAGCGAAACAACAAGGAGGAGGATAAGAACGGAAACAGGAGCGGGGGGGGAGGATGTGGGAAGCGGAGGCCGGGCGAAGCAGCTCTGACTTGGCCGGCCATAATGTCGGTGTCGAGTGACCCCTCCTCCACCTTCTCTCCCCCCCTCCCTGCCCTTCACACATCTTCCTCCCCCCCCGGGTCCTCGTACGTGTCCTCCTCTGACGCTGCTCATCCTTCTTCCCCTTCTCCCAAGTATCTTCCTGCCCTCCCTCCTCTCACACAGGATGCATCTCTCCTCGCCCTCCGCATCGTCCTCTTCATCCTGGTTATGGTGTTGCTTCTCCTCCTCCTTCTTCTCCTCCTCCTCCTCCTCCTCCTCCCTCCTCCCTCCTCCCTCCGTCCTCCCTCCTCCCTCCCTCCCTCCTCTCTCCTCCTCCTCCTCCTCCTCCTCCTCCTCCTCCTCCTCCTCCTCCTCCCTTTTTGTCCCTCCATCTGTTGCTCCTCCTGCCTTCCCCACTTCCTGCTTCTCCATATTTGAACCAGCGGTCCTCAATGCGACGTCATCCATTTCCCGGTCGAGGACCTTGGTTGCGTCGCCCTCCCCATGCTTGACCACCAGGAAATGAGAATGAGATCATGGTGTCAGAGGGGAGCAGGGGATGAGGGAAGCAAGAAGAAGAGGTGATTCGGATGCGACGAACGGGAAGCATCATGCACAGGCAAGAATTGGAAATGGGCATGTGGAGGGTGTAGAGCTGAAAAGAACATATGAGAAGGCAATCGAGCAGGGGCAGGAACAAACAGGAGGATGGGAGGAGAAAGTGAAGCAAGGCGACCACGCGGGTCCGACAAAATAAGGGACCGCCAGGCCTGTTCTTCGGGACAAAATCCTCAGAATGCGTCGCCCGCGTCCAATCAACACAATATACGCTCGCATCCCCGACCCTGCCATGTAGATGTGTCGCACGCGTGTGCCAAATCACAATTGAAACCCAGTGTCGCCCAGTTTTGTGATACCTCTTTCCACGATGCGCATTCCGTCCAAAAGCTGAGTGCATTCATGGTCCCAGCGATTCCGTTTTGCTTTCGGCCCTGTATTCGCTGAGCTGGCCTTTTGCTGTGAAGCGGGGGCTCCCACTGCGCAACACGCCGGCGCCATCGGTCTCTGGGTGCAATGCGCTGTTCGGTTGCCCTCCTCCTCCTCCTCTTCGTCCTCCTCCTCTTCGTCCTCCTCCTCGTCCTCCTTCTTCCCCCCTCCAACTTATGGTGGTGGTGGTGGAAAACGCTCCCATCAGGAAGAGCCAGGCCGGCGGGAGCGAGGCAGGCCCACGGGCATGCCGTGCTAGCGCGCTGCCCCGAGGCGCCGGGGCCGCGGCGCGGGAGGGCGCCGGAGCAGGAACGCGCAGGGAGGCGGGGAGGGCGAGGGACGGCGGGAGGGACACGAGGAGGACGAAAGGAGGGACTGTCACAGCGGGAGGGGGGAGGCAATGCGCTCGTCGGCCCGGCCCAGCCCGATACCTTACGCAGGCTTGTGTTGTTCCCATCCTACTTAATTAAGGACCGCATCCCAGAAATAATTTCGAGCACCCGGACAACTGCCGTGGCCCCCAGATGTCAGACACGGGCGCACGACGAAGCATAAATCGAATCATCTACTCAAACACTGGTCGTCACGCGTTTCCAGACGCCTGCCGCGGCAAAATCAGCTCTGCTGCGCCCACACAGCCAATCTGGTAGAACCAACACCCAAGTGTGAATATCACCAGTCTCGCGTTTCCATGATCCACAGTCCATGTAACTGTGGTGATGGAACCACCAATCTATACAACGACCTCCATACCCACTACATGTTCCACTACTTGTCTCTAGACTGAGCAATCTGCCGATCCAGCTACCAACCCATCGATGTAGCTATCTACCCATCGATGTAGCTAGCTGCCCCGAGGCACGAAGTGGAACGTCCTGAGACCCCTTTGATTTCTCATGCTGGGTATTGCGTATTGCAAATGTTTCCAAAGGGCGAGCAACCTCGAGTTCAGCGCGCTCCCGCGGTGTGTCGCGTGCATTCTGAGATTTCTCGCGCTATTTTGCCTTAGGCCAGGGGGGGGGCAACACAGGCCCCGATGGCGTTTAGGAGCCTTGGGGACAATCCAAGGAGGCCCCGAGATAACCCAATGGATGGACTCATGACAGCCCAAGAGATCTCCAAATATGCTCAAAGATGATTCCAAGAGGCCGTCCGAAAGTGCCCCAAGTGGCAAACATCAAACATGTCCCTTAGATATTTGACAGGTTTCAGCGCACTCGCCATTGAGGGCTACCGACGGTCCCCCAAGATCGCCCACCGACTACCGAAAAGGTTACAGAAAGGATACCAAGACGGCCCAAGGGAGCTCCACGACCCTCCTTTCTGGGGTGGTCCAACAGCCCCCGTGATAGACCAGGGGGATCCCAACAGGGGCCCACGAAAAAAAAAAAAACGCGAACTGACATGTCGAGCCCTCCGCCCCAAGATGACCTCCGGGACCGCCAGCAGGACCTGAAAAAAGGCTCCCGAGAGGGCCGAAAGAGCCCTCGAAGAGGCCACCGAGGGACACCACAAGAGACCCTTTTCATACATCCATAGGGCGTGTTGTCCACGTCACTGTCAGGGTGGCGGGCGCGGCCGAATGCCGACTTATCTGCTTACCTACCCTTTACTGCGTAGTGTCGACCAACCCACTAAACAATCACGGGGCATCCCGCGGGACAACAAGTGGACCGACCACAAGACAACCCGCGGGACAACCACAAAATAGGTAAGATGCAGCCACCCGACAACCTAATGGACACCCACGAGACAACCCACAAGAGAACCACGGGACAACCGCAAGACATACTACGGGACAATCCCACGCGCCCACGTGAGACGAACGCAAAATCTTTATTGCGCGACTTGGCCCTAGCCTCAGGCAGCGCACCATCGTCAACACGCAGTTTCGCCCAGCTCGAACGAGCCACAACCAAAACTGGTTTCCCAATTTGGGTCACTTCGCCTTCGCCACCCAACCGCCGACATAACGACAGATGGTCGTATGAGCGGCCAAAAACTAACCTATGGCACGTGCTACGAAACTAGCCTCTATACATCTACATATGTGTATGGTCAACGCGTGACAGTGTTCGGCAACCAGCAACTGTCGGCGTATCTGGCCACTCGAAAGCTCGCGAATTTATAGGGAGCCCGTTGGGATCGTCCCGGGGGTTCTTGGCCATAGTGACCCCTCTTGGCCCAGTACTGGTTTACCTATACGTTCTGCACGCGAAGGGGACACATCGAACCCCGAGCGCAGCACATGACATGCTCTAAAAGTCGAAGACAACTTCCCGCCACTCCTCTCCGTCCAGCAATTCGGCGCACGCGGGCTCTCCAAATATGAACTCAAAGCCGTTCGTGCTGGAGAGCTTACGGTGACAACATTTCGAAATGCTGGCCTGAGGAACGCTCAATAATCTTGCCGCCTCACTGGCGGATGGGTACCAGCTCCAAGTCCCGTCCACCTTCGGAAAAGCCTTCGGCCGTGCCCGTCCAGACTAGCTTGGGCAGTGACATCGAGTTCCGAGGTTTGGGGTTCATCGAATACGCATGTGTCATGCTCTGGGACCGCGTCACGTACTCCAAATTATGAACGCAACTGTTAGCTTTATCTCCGTCTTTGTGGTTGACCTCCATGTTCCAAGGGATCGGACCTCGCCCCAAGAATCTACGAGCAACTAGTCGATGAACCTTGAAATCTTGCTGTACCCCATCTGATGATATAGTAATCGTCCTGTATCCGGATGGATTAGGCGATCCCCATGATACATGCCCACGTGTATTCACGTGTATTGCGCAATCGCCCACGAGAACTGCCAGACCATGTTGACAGCTCGCCTTCAGAGTTCGGATCGAGAGCTCGCCTCCACATTTCGCCACGCAAATCAACAACGCATGCATTTTCATAGCGGAACTCGTATCCACCTGTCTGATCCTGGCGATGCTGGCAGCATCTCCTAATGCAGTCCCTGTTCAGCCCGGGACTTCTCGAAGCTTCAAGGATGGATGGGAAAACCCGCCACGATGTGGTCCCGTTCTTTCGTCCAACAACTGGTCTACAATTGCCTGGCGACCGAACTCTTCTGTTATTTCTGTTTCTGTGCGAAATCACTAAGTTCTGTGACTTCGAAGCATACTCAAAATTGCCAACATGGTTGTTCCACCGCACGCCGTCCTTATGACGAACGTCGGTTTTACCAGCGGGAGGTGGCCCAAAGAACGCACGTGCAACAAGGCGATGTACAAGACAAGATCTTCTACACATAATCGTTGTGCAAGGTCTGGAGACTGAGCAAGAGCCCATACTGATGCTGCCACTTGCAGCCCTGATCCGCTCGTAGGAGCTCACCAATACTGGCTTGGATAATGGAATGGACAATCCGATGAAATCGAGTATGACCCTGCGACTATAAATCAGCATACGTGACGGCGTTGGCGTTACCATACGTCCACTGACATGGCGCGCAAGTGCACCGAGCAAGAGATTACTGCATCGCCTGTACTGCGAATTGATACAACGATGCCTCGACCGATCTGTATCGAACTTGAGTGGATACGGACCTAGCCTATGTGTGTGATGATGATGATGCTGAGGGTCATGATGCTGATGCTGATGATGCTGCTGCTGCTGATGATGATGATGATGATGCTGATGATGATGATGGTGATGATGATGATGATGATGATGATGTCGATGATGAGCGCGTGGGCAATTACGCAACAACATCCAAAGTGTACGGATGAGAACCAAGTTTGGCCAACTCATGAATTATCAACCCCATCCCCTGCGCAATCAGCACACCCTCCCACCCGCAATTGAGCTTGCAAAACCTATGCGGCGACGATTGCGGCGACTGCTTCGCCGTGACTGGCGCATCTCTGCGGCCGCGCTGGCGCGAACAAGCTCGCGCGCAAAGCGGCCGCCTAGTTTGGGACGACCGACGCGGCCGCGATGGCGCTTACCGATGGCACCCTTCCCGCGCGTGTCGGAGACCGCGCTGGCGCACGGGCACTTACACGGGCACGCATTTTGCAATTTTGCAGTTGCCCATGGGCCAATCCTTGCGATGATCAGAGCGTGAGGGGGTTGGGCACCACGTTCGGTGCGCGGCGGCCTCGCACCCATCCAACTTAGCGTCGGGCGATTTATAAAAACTCATGAGTACACCACGACGGCCGACATGAACATTCATGAACGCACCCCGACGACCTATTGGATACATACGTCCACGCGGTGCTCACGAATCGAAGAAATTGAGACTGAACATCTACACGAAAATTGTCACATGTATAAAGGCATAGAAATGTGTACACTTCGTGTCACTACGTACACCATATACAGATGTTCTAACATGTAATGCATACAATGCACTGCAGTCAAGAGCTTATGTGCAACACCCCTGCCAGACTATTGCATGCGACCGTTACCCATCCACCAAGCGAATTCAGCGAAAATGTCGAAAAGTCGTCCAACCGACAAGAGGCGAAACGCCAGACACGCAGAGGCA